TATTTTTTTAAATAATTTTTTTTATTTTCCTAAATGTTCGATATTTTAAATATCAATATTCAAAGTTACAATATTCATGCTTTATTTTATTAAGATTGGTGGATTTTATTTTGAGTTTACTTTCGAGCCTTTGTCTCATATAATAGTTTTATTTTAAATAATATATAAGCATATATATGAGTTATTATTTGTCAACCGATGAAGCCGGCTGCCCCAAATTAGTTTGAGTTAAAGTAAACAAGTAAGGGCTTAAAATTCGCATAAAAATATAAACTTTCGAGTGCCGTGTGCTATTTCTAAAAATTTAAAATGGCAAATTCAATATGGCGGTTAAACGCCCAATGAAAAATTTTTCATATATAATTATATAAAATTATATAAAATTATATATAATTATACATAATTATATATCATTATATATCAAATTTATGTTCATACATTCTACTTATATATGTAATTATACATAATTATGTATAATTATATATATAAATTCATATATAATTTTACATAATTATGCATAGATTTATATGTAATTATACATATTGTTATACATAATTGTGTATAATTATATATAATTTTATATGATTATATATAATTATACATAATTATGTATGGACAAATTTCATACATAATTTTACATAAAAAATTTTTCATCGGGCGGTGAGAGTAAAAATTTTAATTTATCTAATTTAAATGAAAATGTTTGTAAGGGAGTTTTGGGGATTAGTAAGTACGAATATGAAATCAAATTTGCAAAATCATTGTGTTTAAATAAATTGTTTAAACAATTAATTATTAAAACAAATTAATCTTTCAATTTCGACATCATATTCGTCCTCAGCGATCTCAAAAATCTCCTTAAAAATTTTTTTATTGAAATTAGGCTCCCTTACAAATTGTTTAAACAATTAATTGTTTAAACAAATTAGTTTTTCAATTCCGACTTTATATTCGTACTTAAAAAGTTTTTGGATACGTTATACAAATTTTTAAAACCATGAAACCCGTCTCTGCTCATTCGTTAAAACAAATAATTGTTTAAACAAATTATTCTTTCCTTTTATTTACACTGCAACTCGATGTTGTACGTAAATATAAATAATTTTTTAATATTGAAATTACATTTATTTATAAATAAATTACATTTATTTATAAATAAATGTAATTTTACTATTAAAAAATAAATCGTTGTTTTGTAGTACAAGATAGTGTAAACATTGTAAATAGCGAAGAGGAATTATTGTATATAGTGTAAAATATGTTCCTGGTGTAGATGCCATGTCCTGTAACAAAATAATATCTTCACGTGGTACAGAACGGGTAACTCTAAAATCACATTTCTGTATGTACATTGTCTGTTGTCACAATATGTACGTAAATAATTTAAAACAAGGAACTCTCTTTAAAGGAAATTACTCTACTAGGGCTTTAAAGGAAGCACAATATATCCTTTCATAACATCGTGTTGCAATATAAATTAAAGAAATAATTGGTTTAAACAATTATTTGAACTAGTGAGTAGAGACATGTTTCATGATTTTAGAAGTTTCTACGACGTATCCAAGGATTTTTTAGGTCACTGAGTACGAATATGAAGTCGGAATTGGAAAACTAATTTATTCAAACAATTAATTGTTTAAGCAATTTGTAAGAGGGTCTAATTTGAATAAAAATGTTTGTAAGGAGATTTTTGGGATTGCTGAGAACGAATATGAAGTCGAGATTGAAAGATTAATTTGTTTAAACAATTTGTTTAAACATAATGATTTTGCAAATTCGATTTCATATTTGTACTTAGCAATCCTCAAAACTCTCTTACAAACATTTTCATTTAAATTAGATAAATTAAAATTTTTACTCCCAGTTTAGCCGCCATATTAAATCCATCACTTTGCATTTTTAAAAATAGCGCACGGCATTTGAAAGCTTATATTTTTACTCGAATTTTTAGTCTTTACTTGTTCATTTTTACTCCAACCAATTTTGGGCAGCCGGCTTCATCTGTTGACAGATAATGATCCATATACAGGGTATTCCCAAAAGGTGGTACCAAATTTTAGGGGCATGTAGTACTCGTTAAAACAAACCAAAAACTCTTAATGAACAATATTCCGAAAACCTTTTATTTCTGAGTTATGAAGCATTTTGTTCTGTGAAAAATAGAGAATAACTAAAATTTACAATAAATGTTCAATGTGCTCTCCGTCCATTTCAACACACAATTCGGCAAATTCTCCTCATTGAAGATCGAACACGTTCAAAGATTCCGGGTTTATTTTGTATTTGTTGACAACAGTTTTCAAGATATTCATAAAATGAATATCCGTCATTTCAGAATTTGTGTAAAAATTAGCCATTTTTAACACAAAACTAGACACGGTTCAAAATCCAAAGTTGAATACAACAATCCCTGTGTAATTAGGTGGTCACATACGGGCGCCCGTGAATGAACTGACTAAGAGACTTGGAAACTGTTGTCAACAAATAAACCTGGACTCTTTGACCTTCAATGACGAAACATGCCGAAATGTGTATTGACATGAGCCGAAGGCACATTGAACATTTATTGTAGATTTAATTTATTTTCTATTTTTCACAGAACAAAATGCTTCATAACTCAGAAATAAAAGGTTTTCGGAGTAATATATGTAAAATTTTATATAATTTTATATAATTATAATTATAAATTTATATAGTTATATATGTAAAATTTTATACAATTATTTATATATTTTTTGTGATTATTTAGTTTTTCTCATTTTATTTGTACTTATTTTTATAGATGTATCCCCCTTCTCACAGTTATAGGAAGAAATGAAAACTTTTGCGATTGGTTAGAGTAGAACGATTTTGTAAAAAACCCATTGTTAGTTTTAAATTATTAATGATATTTATTTCATACCCCACTCAAAAGTCTTGGGTTTTCGTGGAATTTCTGTTCAGCTTTTTCGGGTCCTCCCAGTTGTACCAATAATGTCCTGAAAGCCTTATCCGTAGGGATGAATAAAGTGTATGGACCTATTGGTAACATTACAAAAAGATTTAAAGACAACCAGATAATTTTGTTCGTAATTTTTATAGAATAATCAGTTATACTATTGGATCACGAAATATTCTATCTTCAATATACACGTATTTCTACGATATTTTCACGCATGAAAATTACTTTACTCGATTACTCGTGAAAAAATATAAATATATATAAGTTTATAAAATTAGAAAATATAAACTATATAATAAAACAAAAACTGATAAAAGGAGTTTTACTGTTTCAAAGTGCAAAATGAATTAAATTTTTGTATGATGTAATGAAAAACTACCATAAAAGATCAAGCAATTCTTACGCACTGAGTTACAGTTTTGTTTAAATAATCCTGATATCTTAAAAAATGTTTGAAACGTTACTTTATAGAATTATAAGCTAAATAGCGCACGCATAGTGGTTACATGTGTTTGTTCTAGTCAATCAAAATTTTATTTTGATCTTGCAAATGTCGATTAATTTTATTTTCAATTTTAACAGTTTTTTTTTTTATCACTGAGAAGGTTTAAGAGGACAATTGAAATATTTGCTTGACTCTTGAAGAGTGCTATTTGATATTTGATGTTTGATTCATCTATAGTTGATCGAATGTCTGCAACTAATGTTTTACATTGGCTTTTATTGGGTAGTTTGATCGTTTTTTGTTTGCGTATCTGAGAGACTTGACAATTTTAGTTATTTTCCGTTCGAATTTGTGCAAAACACACTTAAATCAATTTCCACCCTCAAATGCCACATAGTTATATTAATTTCGCTTTACAAAACACTGAATGCGAAGAAACGTACAATCCTCGCTGTATCTCGTTAAGTCGGCGGAAACAGCATAATTTTTTTGCGATTGATATTTGTGTCAATAGTTACGTTTCACTTGTCAGACATTCTCTCCCATACTTGTCAATCTACGGTGCATTAATTATGCGCACAAAAGTCCTGTAATCGTCTTGCATCGTCGCCGTCGAAGGAAAAGCACGTCATCGCGAAGAACGCAGTTCGGAGTTACACAACTGCTTCGATACAGATTAATAATTGCAATCGCGTGCTCGATAGAGACGCCAGAGTTGCCACTTGCGAAAATCGCCATTACGGGAAAGTAATAGTCGCTTGTTTTTGTTTTTAACGAGCGTGCGAATGCGGCCAATAAAGTTGCGCTGGCGCGTGAAACGCTGGAGCGTCAATCGTATTTTTTTTTGCGTGGTTATTTATCTTCCGCGAGGGATCGATGAGAAAATTTTGAAGGTGCTAATTAATCAAGTTGCTGGTAAATCTGCTACATGTTGTTTGTAAGTGAACGAGCGCGTAGAAGGATTGACATGTTTCGTACAAAGAGATTCAACTTGAATTCTTCGTGATATGTTGGAATGTAAGTTTTGCATTTGGAATTCAGTGAAACAAAGAGACATAGACATGAGTACGAACGCATGAGACGTTTAAATTATATCTGAGTTTTTTAGTTAAGTTATATAAATTACATTTTATTTGCAATCACGAATCTATTGAACGACTCACATCTCTAACTGTAAATGTTTAAACTAAATCTTTTAATTCTCATTTCTGGTAATCTGTTAAATTTTTTCTATTCCGAATTTACAAATGTTTTGAACAAGTTGACTATGCCTGTATTAATTTGTCCTTACTTGAAATTTGTCTCAAATAATATGCTCATATTTAGAGTTGGATAAGTTAATGATTTTTAACTAACAAGGGAACATAGGCAACCTGAAAATTCAGAAAATTCTGAAACATTGTGTGCAAGTAGAGTAATACATCCATAACATAAAACTATTTTTTGTTTCTGCTAAATTTCGATTTAAGGGGGTGAAACCATCCCTCGAAAAAATATAACATTTTTATTTTTAGCGAATATTTCCTAAAATACAAGGCATATGAAAAAATAATTTATATAAAAGTGATAGAATATTTTATACTCTTTGCAACGGTGTATTCAAATTTTGCAAAAATTTTTGAACCCCCCTTTCCCTACTCATTAGTTTCGAGAGGTGGTTTCACTCCTTTAAATCGAAATTTAACAGAAACAAAAAATAGTTTTATATTATGGATGTACTACTTTACTTGCACACAATGTTTCAGAATTTTCTCAATTTTCGGATTGCCTATGTTTCCTTGTAAATTAAGTTTAAAGTTTAAACAAAAACAATTCTGCAGGCATTATTTTTTATTGATGATGATTTTAATATTAGTGAATTACTTGTTATAAATTATATGAATTATTTTAACTTTATATAAAAATTAATAACATAAAGTTGCTGCATTTTAAAGTAATTGATTTAAGTTAAAACTTGACTCATTTGAAATTAAATAAATTTAGTTGAGAGTTATTATTTTAACTTTAACGTAACTTTTAATTAATTAACAAGATATTAATTAACTAGAAACTAATTTATTAGATATTACTCAATCTTGTTCATATTTTAGTCGTAGAGTTAAATGTGAGTTTCTTACTGAAATTGTAATTGCATATATAATGCCATGTATGTCAAGTGATTCAACTGAAAAACTCCAGTCTAATTTTAAATCCAAATCAGAGCATTTTACGTGAGACAAGCTCAAAATAACAACTATTAATTTATGAGCCTGATTTTAAAAAAATTAAATCATGATATACATAACATATTTTGTACTTGTGATCGCGATTCAACTTAAAAAATTCATATTTGACTCTAAGCTAAAAAATTTGAGCATTTTAATGAGACAAATTTTCAAATAATGATTATTAATATGATGTGCAAATATGATGCATTTCTTACACAAAGCAGTATCACAGCGACGAATCAGGAATGTTGTCGCACCGATCATTAACAGCGAGTAATTAAATCGCGTGCTTTTCTTTTAGAGATCTCATATAACGAGAAAACCGCGTCTTTGTTTTCGTAAGGTGGATGACGACGACTGTGGCGAAATGGGCAACGAGTCGTGAGAACATTTTTCCAACGAATGTTGCATGACTCCGGGGCGAGAGATACGAATGGCGGATTGTGTAAAGCGACGTGGCTTACCTCGCGCCAACGGAATCGTTTGTACCATCATTTGAGTCTGAAAATTTTTGCCGTAAGGCGTTATTGCGCCTTTGCAATATTGTCGGACGCGGCGATCGCGATGTTGCGGAAAACGCGATTTGCAAAATTACACCTTGTCACCTACCTCTCACTAATCTTATATATTTATAATATGAGTTTAGTAATGAAATCTATTCTCTAAGTTTATTATATAAAATGACATCTATTATCAATATTAATATATTGAACTTATTAATGTTAGTATGAATTATTTCGTTAAATCGATGCGGAAAATGCAATTTGGAAAATTATATTCAAATATCTCACGCTATTTCTTAATTTCTTAATGTTAATTAAATAGTGAAATCTGTTATCCAAATATATTATTAAAATACTAAATACTACTCTGAGAGAGAGAAATTATTCGATAAAAAACTAATAAACGGATATTTCTGATCAAAGTACCGATGAATTTTTGTATCCAGTCAGGAAACACCCGATGAAAAATATCGGTTCATAATTGTTGATCTGATGAAATGCTATCATGATCGGAAATATCCGATTAAATCGGATATCCTGATTGGATATAAAAATTGATCGGAAGTTGATTGGAAATATCCGTTTATTAATTTATTACCAGATAATTTCTCTCAGTATATCTATTATCTATTAACAAATAAAACTTACTAGTATTAGCATGAATTATCTCGTTACAAGAGTGCGGGAAACACAACTTGTAAAATTATACCTCATTTTATGCTACATCTTATTATGCTAATCTTAATCTTTTAATATTAATTGTAATAAAATCTATTATCCAAATCTGTTGTATAAAATATTTAACGATATTCGCTATTTGTTATCATTTACATTGATCGGGCAGGAAAACATTTTTCACGTAAAAAAGTCGAGGTTATTTTCATTTTTCTAAATGGAATCTCATATCTTTATTCGTGGTATTAATCAGTATTATTTATTAATAAATAAACTTACTAGTATTAGCATGAATTGTCTCGTTACAAAAGTGCAGGAAATACAATTTGTAAAATTACATTTCATTATGCTACATCTTATTAATCTTAATCTTTTAATATTAATTGAATAATGAAATCTCTCTTTATTATCCAAATCTGTTGTATAGAATATTTAATGATATCCACTATTTTTTATCAATTGGGTCAAATTCAATAGTAACTTTAATAATGTTACTTTAAGTAACATTTAATAGTAAAAAACAGACAAAAAGTATAATATTTAGAACATATAATATTTAGAACATAATGAGTAATGTTAAGAAATGTTCGAAATGTAATCTATTTTCTGCAACACAAAACCTTTTGTAATGGAGTTTTATATGTCGTATCAACTAAGATATTTCGATTTATGTTTTTGCATATTTATGTTATGCGTCGTTGAAATTCTCTATTATTAATTCATTGTGCTCTATTCTACTGTGAAAAAGCAATAAAGGTAACATTATGAGTTACTATTGAATTTGCTTTGAATTTCTTTTTATATCGCTATAGATAAAAAAAGATATACGAAAAAAAAACAGTTATGTTTGGCTCACACATAAGTCTGGTTGTGCCAACCAGATTCAATATTGAAATTGACTGGCACAACTAAAGCTATGTGTCAGTTAATCATAGTATTTTTTTCATGTACAGTTTGATTTAAAAAAGTGAAAGTAACCTTGATCTTTTTACAAAAGGAGAAACGTTTTCGAAATTTCTATTGACATATTTTATTACAGTTTAAAAACTGATTAATTGCAACTAGAACTTTTCCTGTCCGACCATTGTAACTGATAAAAATTATCGTTACTAGTGAGCTTTGTGTATATTATCTTTATTATCTATATATGTATATTAATATATTAGTATAATTTTAATCCTATTAATATTAGTACGAATTTTGTTATATTGATATATTATTCTTGCCCTTAATTAACTATCACTTTTCATTTAGAGAAAATTATAATTTATTTCGACGTCAATTATACTTTTTTGTAATTTTAACCATAAAAATAATTAGAAGAACCATCTTTCTAATAATATTTACTAAAACAATAGTTTTTCTAACTATTCTTGTGGCTAAAATTACAAGAAAATATCGTTGACGCTGAAAGCAACTATAATTTTTTCTCAGTATTGAATGTAATGTTGCAATGTTTTTATTTTGCAGTAAGTCGCTACTATTTTTATCTCACAAACTATTCTTCATATTATCGTCCCAAATTATTTTTAGATACTCTTCGCATCTCGTGATAGAATTGCATATGTTTGCTATCGAGTCGGTTACAGATCGGTTATCATTCATGTGTAAAACTCTTCTCTTAAACAATTGACTTATCAATAAACCATATCTTAAATTTCTACGAAAGTGATTAGCGAGTCTCGAGGAAGTTTTTTGAGCGAATTCGCAGTCAACTCACCGGTTTCGTTCAACACATTGTCCAATCCCGACTGCCTCAGGTACTTGGCCATAGCGAAGAGACCTTCTCTCCTCAGTAACGCGGTCAAACTCTCCGTTGGTGTTTGGGTCTTGATGACCTCTGTCGGAGCCAACGTGGTGCTCTGATAAACGACGTTTGCGTTCTGCAAATTGGACGTTACAGTGCCGGAAGATGTTCTCGTCGACGAGACTACTGTCGGGCTCGCGGCGAAGTGGATGTAGGAGTTGGTTGTCTGTTGCGAGAATGTCGCCGGTGGTGTCGGTGTCGTCACAATTTCTTTGACCGGCGCCATCGTTGGGATGAATTGGCTCCTGGTGGACGAGTACTTGGTGGTGACCCGCGGTATGTGGTCCGACAAGCTCGTTTTCGGGCTAGTGTTCAAAGAGTTGAACACATGGCCGGCGACGCTGGACGCGGAGGTCACGTATTTGTCGGTGGTAGGTACCGAGTTTGGCGACACCGTGACGTAAGGGAAGTAGTCAGTCGTCGACTTGCTGTAAGTTCAAATTCCACACTTAGTGCGTCTATCACTCGTTTGTTCGTTACGATAAACAATTAATCCGGTCGTGATTGTTTAATCTCCATTTCACGCAAGATGTTATAATCGTTTCTTTATTCCGTGTCAAATTTTAGTGCTTGCTACTGTGTTGATACCATTGATTAATCTACAGAGTTAACAAACATCATCAATTATCAGACAGAGTTAACAAACATCGATAAGAGCTGCTATAAAATGTAAGTTAACTTCAAGAAAGAGTTATTAAAAACAATTTACATCCCAGACAGCGCAATGTTCAAAATCGGGGTCCTAATCAACGTCTTTAAGATGTTTTTAGGATGCTTTTAGGACATCTTACGTTTCGATTTTGGACATTGTGTGTTATGTTATCTCTCTCTCTTTCTTTGTAATAGTTTTTATACATTCTTCTATATAAATAAATACCAGTGTCTGCTGATAATTTTTTGTTTAGCCTACACAGAAAAAAATTTGATTGGATTAACTAAATGTCTGATGAAGTATCAGCGAACTAGAGAATTCCAATTGAAATTACCAGCATTTTGTTCAGATTAAGAGATTCCGGTTAACAAAACAAAATTTCTAATAAAATCTTCACCGGAATTTTGATACGTTTATATTTCACCAGACATTTGGTTAATTTCATCAAATTTTTTTTCGTGTTTTGTATTTGTATTTGCTTTGTTTATTTTTTATTTTATTCATTTATCAATGTTTATCATATCTTATATATACTTGTCTATTTTCATGCAATTTATTTCATACGTAAAAAGAAGCTTTCTTTTAAATAAGTAAACATACAAATATATAAGTAGAATAAATAAGTATTGGATGTACAACTTAGGTCCGTTTTCAAAAGATGGCTCTAGGTGCTATAAATGGTTGACGGCGACAGCTGATTTTTGCTGTATCGTGAAGTGTCAACATCTGTCAACCAAATATTGTTTACAAGCCTTTGAGTTTTGCACAACAAGTTTAATTTTTACTGCGTTGAAAATGTCGAGTTTCGTTCCAAATAAGCACCATTTGCAGGAAGTTTTGATTTTCTGTTTCAATTGGAAGAAAAGTGCAGCTGAAGCGCATCGAATGCTTGTGGAAGTTTATGGTGAATCTGCACCGTCGGATAAATCTTGCAAAGAATGGTTTTGACGATTTCAAAGTGGTGATTTTAGTGTTGAAGACAAAGAGCGTTCGGGTCAACCGAAAAAGTTTGAAGATGAAGAATTAGAAACATTACTCGATCAAGATTCGTGTCAAACGCAAAAAGAGCTCGCAAGAACATTGGAAGTTACTCAACAAGCTATTTCGAAACGACTCAAAGCCGCGGGATACATCCAAAAGCAAGGAAATTGGGTCCCATACGAATTGAAACCGAGAGATATCGAACGACGATTTTGCATGTCCGAAATGTTGCTTGAACGGTACAAAAAGAAGTCTTTTCTGCATCGAATCATTACCGGGGACGAAAAATGGATTCACTACGACAACCCGAAACGCAAAAAATCGTATGTAAAGCCCGGCCAACCGGGAACATCAACGCCGAAGCCGAATATCCATGATGCCAAGGTAATGCTCTGTATTTGGTGGGATCAGAAGGGTGTGATCCACTATGAGCTGCTAAAACCTGGTCAAACCATCACGGGAGACTTCTACAGGCGACAATTGATCCGTTTAAAGCGAGCTATAGCCGAAAAACGTCCAGAATATGCGACCAGACACGAGTCCATAATCTTTCACCATGACAACGCTCGGCCTCATGTTGCTGTTCCGGTTAAAAACTATTTGGAAAATAGCGGATGGGAAGTTCTGGCTCACCCGCCTTATAGCCCAGACCTTGCCCCTTCCGACTACCATTTGTTTCGATCGATGCAGAACGCTTTGACTGGAATACACTTTACTTCAGAACAGGGTATCAAAAATTGGCTCGATTCATTCTTGGCTTCAAAAGATGAACGCTTCTTCCGCGACGGAATCCATAAATTGCCAGAAAGATGGGAAAAAGTAGTGGCTAGCGATGGACAATACTTTCAATAATGTATTAATTCATTTTATCATTTAAATAAATGCGTTTTTCAAGCAAAAAAACGAACCGAATTAAGCTGTATACCCAATAGATAAACACAAATGAAAAATTAAAATTTTATAAAATTAATAATGCGCGTGCGCACATTGATCTCAGTTATCATAACAAAAAAGTACAAACATGTGTATGATATACAAAAAATATAGAAATATACAAGGTATCCAATACCTTTTTTGACACAATTCGTAGGAAAGTAGAACGGATTAAACGGAACAGAAAAGTCAAATACTATTTTGCGAAATTCGCAATAGTTTTCGAGTAATTAAATATTTTGTCTGAGCAAATTACCGTTCGGGTCTGCGCGCGACCGTGTTTCATGCGAATTACGGCTCGCTGCCCTCTGCCCATAGCTACGCTGTGTTTCGTAACTATAGTAACTATGGCTACGAGATACAACGTACCTATGAGCGGAGGGAGGCAACGAGCCGCGATTCGCGTGTATCACGGTCACGCGCAGGCCCGAGCGCTAATTTGCTCAGACAAAATAATTAATTACTCGAAAACTATTGCGAATTTCGCAAAATAATATTTGACTTTACTGTTCCGTTTAATCCGTTCTACTTTCCTACGATTTGTGTCAAGAAAGGTTTCGGACACCCTGTATATAGAAATAATAGAAATATAGTCTGGAAGAAATTAAAATTACAAGAAATTAAAATTACAAAAAATTATAACAAAGTATATTAAAAGAACTCGAGTTCGTGAGAAATGTTAGCGGTTGAACACAAAAAGAGTGGAACACTCGTCGATTAGTTCTATTCAGGAATTATAAAATCTAAGAAAAGACGTACACATACACACAATCAAGAAATCTAGAACCTTACGAAATCTTAGCCTTACTTTTGATCTGAGCTTTCTGATATTTATAGTATATTCCGAAGCATTAGTACATGCTTGGTACAGATGGAAACTGAAGCTCTACTTAGCACCTCTAAATAAGAAAACACGCAAAATGTCACTTGTAGATTCTAAAGAGGACAAGTTTGACACAGTTAATAGATGAAGTGGAATAAGAAAAGACTGATATAGGCTTCAGGGTATTAAAGTAGACATTAAATGGAATGTTGAGATCGAAAATAGGATTATACAAAAGTCAGGAAAAACTAAGGTTTGTATAAACTTTATTAAACGAAATTTTAGCCCGATTTTCAATCTGAACTTTCTAATCTGTATGTTTTAAAGGGTCAGTGTATGCTTAATACACATAAAGTCTTACTTAACACCTTTAAGTGGAAAGTGAAGTTCTACTTAGCGTCTCTAAATGGCACAAAATGCAACTTGTAGGTTTTAAAAAGTATCTTTCGGCCAAGCTAGGTTAAATAGAATTAAAAGAGATTGATATAGGCTTCAAAATGAATGCCCCCCGTATAAAGGGAGCAGCATTGGCCCTTGGCCGGCTGCTGCCGAATAACGGGGGGCCAAGGGATGTGTCCCGCCGACTCTATGTCGGAGTGGTCAGATCGATGGCCCTGTATGGGGCCCCGGTCTGGGCTCGCGACCTCCGGGCGTCTCCCCATAACAGAAGAGCTCTTCTGCAAATGGGGAGACACATTGCCCAGAGGGTGGCGCGAGCTTACAAGACCACTTCGGCGGAGTCGGCGCATCTCCTCGCGGGGGTGCCCCCGTTTGATCTCCTGGCGGAGATGTACGACGAGACATATCGTCGTACACGCGACATCCGCCAGGGGGTCCGTGTCGGGGCATCACGCGTGAGAGACAGGGCGGTCAAGATGATGAAGCACCAGGCCTGGCGGTCTCTTCTGATCAAGTGGCAACGCCACTTGGCGGAGTCGGAAAACGAGACCGTCAGGGCTATCCGGCCAGTCTTCGATGGCTGGCTGGATAGTTGCAGGGGTCTCACCTTCTGGGTGACGCAGGTACTCACCGGACATGGATGTTTCGGTGAGTACCTGCACAAGATAGGGCGTGAAGACGCGGCACGGTGCCGCGCCTGCAACTCCGCCCCGGACACGGCGGCTCATACCCTGCGGGACTGTCCCGCATGGGCGGGCCAACGCCGTGTGCTGAGGGCGGAAATAGGGGGAGATCTCTCACTGCCGGCGATAGTCCGCGCTATCGTCGGCAGTGAGGAGAGGTGGCAAGCCCTCTCCTCCTTTTGTTCGGACGTCATGTCCGAAAAGGAGGAGAGGGAGCGAGAAAGGGAGAAGAGGGGGACCCCACGCATGGCCCTAAAAGGCAGAGGAGGAGAGGGAGAGCGAGGGGTCCCGGGGCACCGCCCCCCGACTCGTCGTCGTCAGACCCGTCTTCGGATGTGGTTGGCGGCGGCGACCCCGGGGGCGGGGCCAATCGAGGGGCAGTTGCGCGAACTGCCCCTCCGACGACAAGGGCGCGGGCTCGCGCGGCCCTTACACCTCCGCCGGCGGGCGGGGGTCGGGGGGGCTTGGTTGACCCCGGATGACGGGGCGGGGGGAGAGGGACGACTGAGAACTCAGCCACCTCCCTGCTCTCCCCCCCCCGTACATCGGCCAGGAGGTCCGAGGGGGTTACCCTCCCTCGGAAGAAGGATGGGTGACGGACGTAGTCCGCCACAAAAAGGCGGTTGGCGGAGGGGAGGGGAACCTTGGCTCCCCTCTCCCCGCAAGAGACGAGGAGTAAGAGGGGGGGGAGGTATAATCCCCCCTCCTCTCGAGGAGATTCGGGAGTGGGACATAGTCCCACTCACCGGAGGAAGCCCCCTGCGGGGGGACAAAGGTCCAAGGACCTAAGTCCACGCCCTGCAGGGGCACGGGGGGGCGAAGTGTCCGGCGGGGGCCGGCCTTCGCTCCGACCCCCAAGAGTAGGGCGGTGTGTCCGGGAGGGTGGTTCCCTCAACACACCGCGGAGGGGGGGGGATGACATCTATGTCACCCTCCCTCGAGATGTAGGGCGTCGTGACTATACGACGCCCAGGGCCCGGTGCGCCCCCCCACATGCTTACGCAGTCAGGGGGGGCGCACCCGCGGGAGTGCAAATGCGCACCCATGAAAGGGCCCGGGTAGGTAACCCATGGGGTTTTAGTAGGTAGTACGGCAAATATGCCGTGAGTCCTACATAACCCTGGCTCCCCCCCCCTGGGACTAGGGTATGCGTAAATGCATTTCCCCATGTAAAAAAAAAAAAAAAAAAAAAGGCTTCAAAATGAAAGTAACGAAATAAAAGTTAAATGGAATATTAAAGTCGAAAGTCGCATGACAATTTTGCTTCGGGCATAATCATGCGAGCAAAAACTACTTTATTTAAAAAAAAATTCGATTCGTTCTCGCGCTACTATGACACTCACCCTTCGTTATATCTGGTCGAAGTGGATCTAACGGTGGTCGGTCTAAAGATCGTGGCAGGCGTGCTGGCGGAGTGATGCGACGTCTTGGCTGTACCTTGGGTGGACACGAGATTCGGGTCGATGCTGGATTCGAAGTGTTGCTCAAGGCTGGAAGGAGTGGTCGGGTTAAACGAGCTGGGCGGCAGCTTCAGTTCACCCTTCTTGATCCTCTCGACGATGGACTCGACGTCGACGCCGCTTTCTTTGTCGGCGTTCCCTTTCACACCCTGCACCTTATAACTGCCGTCCGATTGTTCCTCCAACACGACAAAGGTCACTTTCTTCGACGGCAGATTCTGGATCGGAGCTTTGCCGATCTCTTCCAATTTGCCGTCGCTCTTCTGTCGAATAATCTCGAAGTCGGCGCCCGGCGGCAACACACCACCTTTAGTCAGTTCCTCAAAGATGGCCTTTGGTGGTTTTATGGTAGTCGTCGAAGACGGTGAGACCGAAGCTGGAACGATGGAGGGCAGACCGTTCGGCGCATGAATTACCTGGAGCTTTTTACCGTTCGGCAAGATCAGGTCTCTGGTGGTCACATTCCTGACGTCGTCGTCACCGGACTGTGCCAACGCGAGCTTCAGCTGCTTCAGCAACAATTCTCTCTCGCTGGACTGTGGAGAACCCCTACTCCTGGAACCGTTGTGTTTCGTAGTGCTGGGCCTGTCGGTTTGATAGATCACCTTGACCTGTGGCTTCGACTTGTCTTGCTGCACTAGATGACTCTCTTGCTCTTGAATCAAACTGAGTAGATTGTCCGGTACGCTCGACGTTTCCTGATGAACCTTGGAGACGACTGTTCTGGGTGGTGGAGGCGGTAGGGGGGTGGTGGTTGTCGTTGTGGTTGTTGTTGTGCTCGTTGTATATTTCTTCTGATGGTTAGCAATTGCCTTAAGAAAAAGCTCCGCCTCAGACGGCGTGATCTGCCGCGCCGTCGGCGACGACAGCAGCAACGGCGACGAGGTGGTGCTCACAACGGGAGTCGATGTCGCAATCGATGATGACAGCAATGGTGGCTGCGGTGACGGCGTGGTAGAGGTGAGTCTTTGAAGTTGTTGGAGTCGCAACAGCTCTTGTTGCCTTCGTAACTCTTGCTGCTCATACAGCAACTGTTGCCGTTGCTTCTGCAACAGCTCTAGCTCGCGTTGCTTCTCGAGATACTCCTGTAGCTGCAACGTCTGTTGATCGCTGAACAGTGGCTGTGACAGATCCTGATGAAGATTCTGAAACCCGTTCTGGTATTGGTTGTTATATTGTTGCGGTTGTTGTTGCTGCTGTTGTTGATATTGTTGTCGTTGATATTGCTGCGCATTATCGCTCACGAAGTCCGTCGTGCCGAGTTGCTGGGCGATTTTCTGTTGTTGCTGTTGCAGGAGCTGTTGCACCTGTTGCTGTTGCTGCAGAAGTTGCTGTAACTGTTGCTGCTTCGCTCGATCAACCTTGTACTTGGCTAAGGAGGGGTATGGCGTGCTAGACTGCTGATACTTAGGTGTTACTTGGTCGTATGACTGGAAGGATCCTATCCGCGAGTTCTTTGAGTCTTGAATGGGACGCCGATATCGATGCTGGTGTTGCTGCACGTCGCTCAGTATCTGGGCTTGCTGGGAAGCCGAGAGACGAGGTCGCGGATCGTTCACGAAGTGACTCTATAAGATTATAAATTTATACAAACATAGCATCAAATCTTGAAGAATATATGAATATAAATTATATAAATAAATAAAATAAATAAAAAAAATAAATAAAAATAAATTTTAATTTTTTAAAACACTGATAAGCAATAACCAATAATAAAACAAAGAAAAAACGTGAATAATATAATAATAATACATGATATAAATATAAATAAGAACAAGTAGAAAATAATAGAAATCTGTGAAATAAAATAAAATAATTATTATAAAAAATTTTATGTAATTATACGTATTATTTATATAATT